CATTTTGGACGTTTCCATGGGTGCAGTAATGTCACTGCAGCAAATATCATTAAACACCAAAACGTAAAAACTGTTGACAGAGAAACTCTCCAGAGGAAACAGAGGACTTATCAGGAGGAGGGCTGTTTTACTCTACAATTTCCCTGCATGAACCTGAACTGTGTGTGGGAACTTCTGGAGGTGTAAAAAACCACAACAAATGACATTTATTAACATTAGATCGCGTCAACGATTTAAATAATCAATGAAGCTGCTGTGCCTTGTACGTAAATGCACACACCGTCTCTCTTAATGGGGAGAAACCTCACACTAATTCAGCCACCCTCAGTCCATCCGTTATCAATCACAATGTTATCATAATTTTAATAACCCGGCTGTCAGATCGATCTCAGTGCTGCAGATTAACTGCGATCTGCTCATCACTATAATGCAGGTTGTTATTCATGTGCAGCTGTTTGTTACACAGGTTACAGACTGCTGCTGTGTGTCTCTATTAATATTAGTACAGTTCACATGTGTGCAGACACAAACTCCACCAAAAGTCTCTACAGCTGTTAAAGCTGACTGACAGCTGTCAGATCAGATCATCAGCTGTCGCCGTCATCAGAAACATCATACATGTTTCCTCGTTCCTTCTTTCCTTCTTCTCATTTCCTTGCATCTCTCCATGCATCCCTGGTGGGAGGGACTAAGACGCAAAGAAAAGATGCAAGTGAGGGAAATGAGGATGCAATTAAGAGACATGAGACGCACCCTATATAGTGAGCAGGTGTAAGGTAATCAGAGCAAATAATTACCATTGGGAAAAATGAAGTGAGAGGATCAGAAACAAGAGGGAAAGAAAGGTACAAAATAAAACAGGAAACACACAGAACCTTAAAATAAGACAACCAACAATGACTGAACCATGACATAAAGTGTGTAAATGTACACGCATTTTCAAATCTTTTGGCTTTGTGGATTTCTGTTCTTAAGGTCTGTTTAGCCAATCAAATTAAAGCCCCTTTAGTTACATAAATGTGACGCAATTTAACATTGCCCTTATATCTGTATATCTGCCTGAGTCACTTTTTCTGTAAAACTAATGTTAAGTTTTCGTATCACTTTCAACATATCTGAACTAAATGCAGTCTGTCACATTAGCTGCATGTCGAAAACTGTTTAATAAACCACAATTCACTGTGAATAAGTCCATTTTAGGTAGTAATTCTCCTTATGCATGGAGTAAAAGAGTTCCTCGCACAACCACAATAATAATGGGACCAACACTCCCTCCCTGTATTTTCACTTTTTGAAATTAAAAAGTAAAGAAAACACAGCAAAACACTTGACATTTTATGCTTGTGAATTTGTCAGCATTATAAAAGAGACAGCAATACTGTATGTTTAAGTAAAGGTTCAACATGAAGTTTTATAACTAGGTTCGGGAACAAAGACCATGCCTTGATGTCATCTCATTTCCGTTCCAAACGTACTTAAGCACACCTTACCCGTTCACTCCCTCCTCGACTCAGTATCCACATGATCGTCGTCAGACAAAAAAAACACAAAAAACCATGGACAACAAGCTCATCCTCAACCCTTCAGACAGCGACATGTTTAAAGATGAATGGCAAACTCAGACTCAGAGTCAAATCTCAGAGTCCTCTTTTTCACCTACCATTCCTTCTCGACAGCCACCTCGGCTCTGCTCAATAATCCACGTGCCATGACGCCCCCAGCCTTCATCCACCAACAACTCCAACATCATCATCACGGCTCAGCCTTCTTCATCAGCCAGGGGCTAAGGGCCAGGCCATATTTTACCCAGTACCTGCCATTTCGGCTTCTCACAGACTTTACAAACAACCTGAGCACATGCATCCCTCCATCCCAGCATCCTTTTCCCTTCTCTCATTTCTAACTTCCCTGTCCTGTCTTCTTTGGCTAGAGCGTGCCTACAAATTAAGCACTGCGTTAGTTCAGGCAGGCCACGAAGTCAAGCTCAGCTCTCAATTCCAGCTACATCAGCTGATCACAGCAAATGTGCTTGTATAGCATCTTTCTAGTCTTCTGACCACTCAAAGCACTTTTACACAACGTGCCACATTCGCCCTTTCACAAACCACATTCATGATGGCAAAGTCCATCGAACAGAAACTAACTCATTCATACACATTCACACACCAACACTGTGCATCGGGAGCAATTTGGGTTCAGTATCTTGCTCAAGGATACTGTAGCGCCCGCAAAGTCGGAACACATTACTACACACCTTTCCATTAAAACACACCTCCATTCATGTCCTCCTCCGTCATCCACCCACATTCATCTCTACTCCAATGGAAATAATCCACCGTTTACCGCGCAGTTTGAATCCATCCTCCAGGAAGGGCATTTGAATGAGTGCAAGTCACCGGTGAACGAGGGGAAAAAGAGTTAGAAGGAGAGTCCGTGGAGGAGAAGGTGACATCGGCATTAAGCAGATGTCACCTGCCTACTCACGCTGCATCCCTTCTTCTTCTTTTTTGCACTGTG